GCGGGAGGATGGACGGGGCCCAGCGCGGCCGGGCTGCAGCCGCCGCCGCTCCCGTCCCTTCCGCCGGCGGCCGGTGGTGCCCCGGCGGCTCTCGGTGAGGCGGGGGGGGGAGAGATGGCCCCCGAGCGCTGCCTCCGTTGGTGAGGGGGCCGGCGTGGCAGTGTGGAGTAGGGAGGCGGGAGTAGGGAGCGGTGGCCTGCGCCTTCGGGCTGGAGCTGGCCCCGATGGCTCCATTAACGCTGGTCTTAGGGGTTCTGTCGCGTCCAAGAGCTTAAAATCTGAGTAAGTTTCAAGTCCTGCGAAATAAATCTTGGATTCTGCCGCGCTGGTTTCGCTCTTAAAGCGCCCGTTGGAAAGTTTAATTATTGAAGTTCCATCTAAACGCGAGGAGGAACTTTGCTGTGAGGATGGCAGAGCCCTGGCAGAGGCTGCCCAGAGAGGTGGTGGAGTCTCCTTCTCTGGAGACATTCAAACCCACCTGGACACGTTCCTGTGCGACCTGCTGTGGTTTGCAATGGCATTTTTCGTGTGTAACTTTAATGCCTGGGGTCTTCTTATCAGCTAAAAGAGTTGTGTTTGGTTTTTTTTCCTCTTTAGAGCAAAGAAGGTGCCGTCGGTACCGGAAAGCCTGCTGAAGAAGCGGCAGGCTTACGCAGCTATGAAAGCCAAACGTCAGAAGAAGATACTGGCTATAAAAAAGGTGGGTGTTCCATGATTCCTTAACTTGAATCGCTCGTCTGTGGCAATAGGAGCTTCTGCTGCCGATGTAATGCAGTACAGGAGTTTACAGTGTTTAGGTCTAGTACATTGATTTGTTTTTTAATGGTTTGGACTAAAGTGTGCTGGGGGGGCGATAACAAACCAATTCTGGGCAGAGAAAGGGTCAGGTGAACAGTTTTCTGTAAGATTAAAGTCAGTCTTCTACAAGGCAAGAAGTTACATCTTCTGTGGGGTAAGCTTGCTGCATGATGACGTTGTTCAACATTGAGCTGCGTTGCTGTGAAATAGTTTTCCATATTCTGTAGAATATCACTGAGAGTGATTCTAAACTCCATGTTTTGGGTCCCTAATACACACTGCTGTGGTTTGCAATGGCATTTTTCGTGTGTAACTTTAATGCCTGGGGTCTTCTTATCAGCTAAAAGAGTTGTGTTTGGTTTTTTTTCCTCTTTAGAGCAAAGAAGGTGCCGTCGGTACCGGAAAGCCTGCTGAAGAAGCGGCAGGCTTACGCAGCTATGAAAGCCAAACGTCAGAAGAAGATACTGGCTATAAAAAAGGTGGGTGTTCCATGATTCCTTAACTTGAATCGCTCGTCTGTGGCAATAGGAGCTTCTGCTGCCGATGTAATGCAGTACAGGAGTTTACAGTGTTTAGGTCTAGTACATTGATTTGTTTTTTAATGGTTTGGACTAAAGTGTGCTGGGGGGGCGATAACAAACCAATTCTGGGCAGAGAAAGGGTCAGGTGAACAGTTTTCTGTAAGATTAAAGTCAGTCTTCTACAAGGCAAGAAGTTACATCTTCTGTGGGGTAAGCTTGCTGCATGATGACGTTGTTCAACATTGAGCTGTGTTGCTGTAAAACAGTCTTCAAGGTTCTGTTGAATATCACTGAGGGTGATTCTGAACTCCGTGTTTTGGGCCCCTAATACACAAAAAGAGAGATTGAGGGGCTGGAGCGGGTCCAGAGAAGGGCAGTGGAGCTGGTGAGGGGTCTGGAGCACAAGTCTTGTGAGGAGCGGCTGAGGGAGCTGGGGGTGTTCAGCCTGGAGAAAAGGAGGCTGAGGGGAGACCTTCTCGCTCTTTCCAACTCCCTGAAAGGAGGGGGTAGCCAGGGGAGGTCGGTCTCTTCTCCCAAGGAACAGGCCATGGCATGAGAGGAAACGGCCTCAAGTTGCACCAGGGGAGGTTCAGATTGGAGATTAGGAACAATTTTGACACGGAAAGGGTTTTTAAGCATTGGGGTGGGCTTCCCAGGGCAGTGGTGGAGTCACCATCCCTGGAGGTAGCACTTAAACACATGGTTTAGTGATGGTTTTTATCAGAGTTGGGTTGATGGTTGGACTTGATGATCTGGAAGGTCCCTTCCAACCCAGGAAGTTCTATGGTTCTGCATTGACAGATGTTCCTACCCTCTGTGTTATTTATGGGAAGCTTTAGAACATGCTGCGTTATTTGAAGGTGATCCATATGCGTTAAAAGGCTTAAACTAAATCTTCATGTTGCATTGGTTTCAGCACCGTAAGGCACAGCGCAAGCTCATCTACGCCCGAGCCCAAGCCTACCACAAGGAGTACAGGCACATGTACAGGCAGGAGATCCGCATGGCCAGGATGGCCCGGAAAGCTGGCAACTACTACGTTCCAGCAGAACCCAAACTGGCGTTTGTGATCAGGATAAGAGGGTAAGACTGAGTGCAGATGTCAACAATTTTACGTTCAAAAGCAATGAAATTGCTTTTCCTGTTTCCTTTCTAGATTTAAGTATGTAAATAAGATCAAGCGTTCCTCAGGTGGCTTGGGATGAAGTTGGTGGTGATGTTGTTCATGAACAACATCATGTGCATGATTTAACATAGCTTATTTATGGGTAAGCTTGCTGCATGATGACGTTGTTCAACATTGAGCTGTGTTGCTGTAAAACAGTCTTCAAGGTTCTGTTGAATATCACTGAGGGTGATTCTGAACTCCGTGTTTTGGGCCCCTAATACACAAAAAGAGAGATTGAGGGGCTGGAGCGGGTCCAGAGAAGGGCAGTGGAGCTGGTGAGGGGTCTGGAGCACAAGTCTTGTGAGGAGCGGCTGAGGGAGCTGGGGGTGTTCAGCCTGGAGAAAAGGAGGCTGAGGGGAGACCTTCTCGCTCTTTCCAACTCCCTGAAAGGAGGGGGTAGCCAGGGGAGGTCGGTCTCTTCTCCCAAGGAACAGGCCATGGCATGAGAGGAAACGGCCTCAAGTTGCACCAGGGGAGGTTCAGATTGGAGATTAGGAACAATTTTGACACGGAAAGGGTTTTTAAGCATTGGGGTGGGCTTCCCAGGGCAGTGGTGGAGTCACCATCCCTGGAGGTAGCACTTAAACACATGGTTTAGTGATGGTTTTTATCAGAGTTGGGTTGATGGTTGGACTTGATGATCTGGAAGGTCCCTTCCAACCCAGGAAGTTCTATGGTTCTGCATTGACAGATGTTCCTACCCTCTGTGTTATTTATGGGAAGCTTTAGAACATGCTGCGTTATTTGAAGGTGATCCATATGCGTTAAAAGGCTTAAACTAAATCTTCATGTTGCATTGGTTTCAGCACCGTAAGGCACAGCGCAAGCTCATCTACGCCCGAGCCCAAGCCTACCACAAGGAGTACAGGCACATGTACAGGCAGGAGATCCGCATGGCCAGGATGGCCCGGAAAGCTGGCAACTACTACGTTCCAGCAGAACCCAAATTGGCATTTGTGATCAGGATAAGAGGGTAAGACAGAGTACAGACATCAACAATTTTACGTTCAAAAGCACTGAAATTGCCTTTCCTGTTTCCTTTCTAGATTTAATATGTAAATAAGATCAAGCATTCCTCTGGTGGCTTGGGAAGAAGTTGGCAGTGATGATGTTGATCATGAACAAGATCATGTGCATAATTTAATGTAGCTTATATAGGTTTATTTATTAAATAAGATCAAGCGTTCCTCAGGTGGCTTGGGATGAAGTTGG